TGTAATCTTCTCTTTCTAATTTCTTTAAGTGCCCATGATTTTACCAGGAGTCAAGTGTGTATTTTGTTATTTTCGTACTTTGTCATCTTCAAAGACGGTTAATGTCCATTGGTTTTGTTTTAACTTCATTGAAAGTGCTGTGCAGGAGTTGTAGTTTTTTATTTTTGAAGAAATATATAAAAATTTAAAATTAGTAAAAACAAAAAATAATTTAAAATAAAAAATTTACACCTTTAGAATTAGTTTTGTTTAGTTTAGATTTCATTTTTGAAGATATTAAATTAATGTTTCAATTGAATAGATAAATACAAGGGGCAGATTAAAAAGACATGACTGGATTCAGCTAGCTTGAGCCAGGGGCGGAACCAGGGAAAATCAGGGGTAGTGCCTTTTTTCTTTTAACACTTAACTCTGACCTTTTTCTTACTCTATCAATGAATTTATGGTGGAGCCTTTGGTTTTCTTTTACTTGCAACTCTGCTCCTAAATCTTTTTATTTCTTATTTTTTTGAAGTTGGGTAAGGCCCATGGCCAACACATCCTCCAAGTAGTTCCGACCCTGGCATGAGCTATGAGAGTTCGCGAGTAAAAGCCAATGCAGGTTATTCTTCTTGATGTCAATGTCATATGTAGCTCCCAATTAATGAGTTTATGCCATGCAAAGTTAAAAGAAATTGGTATGAGATTGGAAATAATATTGGCAACAAAGATTTGTGAAAGTGGGGAGGTAAGATGGAATCTAATCTTAGTTTAATGTGATTGTTGATTTTAGGGAAACGATATTGATCAGAAGTCTTTGATCGCGAATTTTTAGAATTGATACTAACTATTCTCCATACTTAAAGGTCAATCTTATTCAACCATTTTCGGCTTGAAATATCAGCCAATTCCAATTCACAAGCCTCCCACCACCTTCATAATGGTAAATATCAAATTTGTTTTCACTCATAAAGCAAAATCAATATGTGCCTCTTCAATACTTCAATTTCATTCAATGTTGCTTTTTATTTATAGTCACTTTTATATTTATGATAATTGAATCACACATTACAATACAGAATACTTGAGATATTAATATTAGACATAAAAAATGATTCAATAATCACGTTAAACACTATTATCTTGTTGTGTAGGAAAAATTGTTTACTAGGTTGGAGTTGGGTTGCATGAGAAGTTTATAATTGTAGCTAAAATGGGCCTACACATGATTGGATAATTCGATTCATCAAAATCTTTAATAAATATATCTAAAGATAATAACTTGCTCTAAAACTTATTCTTGTCACAGAGATATAGGTAATTTTTTTCTTATTAAGCCCCAAAGGTCATTGTAGGGATCCATATATAAGACATTATATTTTTATATATTATAACATATTTACAAAAACATAAAAGCCATAATTTGTTTCAAATTTCCATTCTCTTTATGCTATTTTTTTATGAATTTGTTGGATTATATACATTTATTTGTTTTAAAATTTTACTCTCTTTTTATTTCTTTATATGGTTCTTTTTTTATGGTGTTTGTGAAATATTTTACATTCTTTTTCACATGTGTAAGTTTTTAGTTTTATACCTCATGAATTACTCTTTATGTATAGTTATAGAATTTAGGTTAAATGTCAAATTTGGTCCCTCAACTTTAGGCTTTTGCATAATTTTAGTCTCTCAATTTGTATGTACTTTTTTGGTCTTTCAATTATGAGAAACACACTTTTTAGTCCTTTTGTCAATTAGTCCTTAAGTATGTGTTGGCCCAGATGGCAACCCAAGAGGGGTGTTGAATTGGGTTTTCAAAAATTTTATGCATTTTCAAAAACAAAACAATGAACAAGCACAAGCAATTGCAAACAATTAATTTAAAGTACAAAAATTAAAAGTTAAGGGAAGAGAAAGTTTAAATACAAGGATTTATAGTGGTTCGGTCACAATTTGTGCTTAATCCACTCCTCAAGTCGCCTGCTTCAGAGTTAGTTTTGGATTTAGAATCTCTCCTCCAACTTTCGGGGGTAGAGGTAACCATTTACAATGGTTTTGTCAATGCTATCCACCTTCAATAATTCAACCCCTTGTTACAATCTTTCACAAACCCAATCCTATACCACAAGGAGAGTTTTTTTTAGATCTAACAAGATTACCTAATCACTTTCCCAATAGCTTATGGGTGCTATTGAACCGTTTAATCCCCTTTTTACAAATCTCTCAACCCTTCCTATACCTCAAGAATGGATTACTAAATCTAACAAGGTTTCCCCAATCCCTCTCTCACTTGTTACAATGAAAGAAAATAAGAAAATAAGAGATTTCACAAAGCACAAAGTAGAAACATAATCACTCTTGGTTTTTCAACTCGAAGGCCCTATTCTTCATGCTTTTCCATTCTTCCAGATTTGGTTTTATAGCTTGAGAGTGCTTAATCAGTGTGTTTTACCTTTGGAACTCCTATTTGGAATGAATAAATTCCAAATATAGTAGGTAAATTAATGTCCCAGCACAAGGGATTGGCACTTGCTTTCAAGGGTTGGAACTTTAGTGATTTCTTGCACAATCTTGCAAAAACAGAATTATCAAGGGTTCCAAACCTTCTCCCAGGGGTTGGAACTTCAATTGTAGAATGCACCTTCTATTTTGACTCCCTATAACAAGGAAATATAATTATGCAATTAAATGGACTATTACCAAAAAGGAAACATATTCAAAATTTAATATTTGAAAATTAATTCAATATTACTAGAAATAAATCATATATTCAAAAGTAAATCAACTTCCAATCAATTCAATAAATAACATATTCCAATTCACATTTGGTTTTCGAATAATCACAATCAAGAATAACAGTATGTCCATATATGCACATATTTAGCCCATGAACTTTTAAGATGAGGGATGAAGATTGTGTAAAATTCTAAAATTTAGGGACAAAAAATGTACATATATAAATAAATTTAACAGATTAACGAAAAAAAGAACAAAAAAAGCAATTTTTTATAGTTAAAAGGATACAAAAGTACATAAAGTTAAGGGATCAAAAAAGTGCATAAAAAAGTTAAGGGACTAAAACTATACAAAATTATAAGGTTGAGGATCAAAATCAATATTTAACCTAAAATTTATTTACTAGAATAAAAATGAAGTTAAATTCTATAATTTTAATATTTGGCAACGAACTCCACATGCTAGGAACCTACCATTTCTCATGGGGATGGGGATATGGATAATATTTTTTGCCTATGCCAAAAATCTTTACTGAATCCTTATACTTGTTATTAACAAGATGAAGAAGGGGTCTTCACTCGTGAGACCTATTACCATCCCTACATATATTTGGTTTGGGTTCAAAATTGCAAAAATATATGCATAAACTCTCAAAAATGGGACTAATGATGAAATAAAAATTTATCTAACAAGATACTTATAATTTGGGCAAAGAAACTATCATAACTAAACTCTTTAAGAAAGATTTTTTTCATCAAGGAAGTATGGCAATATATATATATATAT